AGTAGGGGGCAAAGGGGCTGTGGGGGATGGGACCCAGAGAAGGATCTTTTTAAAAATTACCATAAAAATGCGAAGGATGGAGAATGAGAGTTCTGAGATGAGGTTTGTGTTTGGAAAAGACTGAGAACCATGCCAAACAGGGACCCCCATTTCCACGGAGGGAGAAGGGCACCCGGGGATTCCATGGGTGACACAGGAGAAGAGGTTCATTATGAAGCAGCAGGCCTGGAGTCCTCAATCTAGGGAAATAAGCCAGGGCATACTGTGGCTCTGGGGGGTTCTTACAAAATGTATGACTGACCGGCCAAAGTTTATGGGAAAATAGGAAAAGGCAGTAAATGTTCCCAAGCCCAGTCTACACTCAGTTTCCTGTGAACAGGCAGCCGACAGCACAAGTCTTCCAAAAGAGGCCAGGTGCCCACTGTGGCCTTAAGGAATGGTCTGGGTGAGGGAGGAGCTGACGGTCAGTCAGCCAGGACAGGGTGGCCCTTGGATTCTGAACCCAGAGGCATTTGGAAATGATTCTTGGGGACACAGAGAGCCCGGAGAGGTCTTGGCTGTCTGAACTGAGTTTGAGGAAATTTATTTTGGCTAAAACACGGAGCATGGTCTGGACCGAGGGAAAAGGACAGGAACGTGCTTCAACAGTTGGCAAATACGTTGGGTTCTGTGGACCCCACAGCCTTGGTCACAACTACTGCTCTGCTGTGGTGGTGTGAAAGCAGCTATGTACAACCCATGCACGGGTGAGAGGGCTCGTGTTCTGATGGTTTTATTTATATGAAACAGTCAGTGGGCCAGATGCGGCCCTCAGATCCCTAAAGAACATGGTGATGGGAATGGAAAACGGAGGAGACGGGCAAGAGGCGTTTTGTAAGTTGCTTCCTCCGTTTGCCAAGCCCGAGTCCCCAGATCATTCTGCAGTGGTGCCCCACCGCTTTGAGGGGTGAGCACCGTGTGAGCGAGGCATACCTGGGGAGGGGCAGGGCGACTTAGTGAATGCCTCTGGTCTTGGAGCCACGGGCTGCACCGGCCGGGTCTGCTTGGCCGCCAGCTTCTTCAGGCTCACTTGCCTCCGGTGAAACATCTCTTCCATGCTCTCTTGTTTCTGGAAGACCTTCTGCACGTGTTCCTAAAGGGATGTTGGAGAGCTGAATGTGCCACGGAGCAGAACACTGCATCACGGCGGTGCAGCGGAGGCGTACCAATCATGCAGCTGCCTCAGCACGCACCGAAGAGACTTTCCTAACACGGTGTCTGCGGACCCCTTGGTGGGGCTGTGTCTGGTGTGGGTTCCAGGGATGGTGAGGAGGTTGAAACCAGTTAAGAGAGGAGGGAGGAGGCCCAGGGGAAAGACAGCTTGCTGGGAGGGCATCCACAGCCATCTTCAAACAGCTGGAGGGCCTTGGTCTAGACCAGTGGCTCCCAAAGTGGGTGATACTGCCCCCTAGGGGGTGGGGCTGGAACATCCAAAGGGGGCCTGGACGGCGGTAACCTACACTTTATCCTAGATAACGGGCTCCAGGACAAACGTTTTTAATTGCCAGAGGGGTACTGAGTAATTTCTGTTTTCCGAAAAAGGGTTGGTAGGCCAGATAAGTTGGGGAACCCATGATCTAGCAAACAGGATACATTTCTTTGGGGTTACTCTGAAGAATATCACAAAATTAACTTATTCTGCAGAATTAAGACAGCTTGCTGGGAGCCCTGGTGGTGCTAACTACAAGGGCAGCAGTTTAAAACCACCAGCCGCTCAGAGGGAGAAAGACGATACTTTCTACTCCTGTGAAGAGTTACAGTCTTGGAAACCCACAGGGGCACTATGGGTTGGCATCCACTCGATGGCAGTGAGTTTTAGTGAGTTAGGAGTTGGATGCCCATTAACACCACGAAGCGCTGTGGTAACTGAGCCTGACTGGAAATGGCTATGCCACGGGCACACAGTGCCCCCATCGCAGGACGAGCTCAGTGGGACGGAGGAGGACTGCTTCTTAGAAGGGCAAGGTGACGTTCCCAGCTCTAAGTCTCTCATGTTCACGAGGATTAAATAGCCATCTTTGAGGTGTGAACACAATTTCCCAGCATTCACAACACTCCCACCCGCCTGTCAGGGGAGGCTTGGGAGCTGCTGTGATGCTGAACAGACGGAACGAGCTTCCAGACTAAGATGGACCAGGAAGAAAGACTTAGGGATATACTTCTGAAAACCCACCAAGGGAAGTCCCCTGGCTCACAACGGTTCTATCCACAACGGAAGATGGGGACGGTGAGGGACCTGGCAGTGGAAACACCCCTCCACACCCCGTTGTGCCTGGGGTTACCATGTGTCGGGGGGTTCAATAGCTCAGTGAAGAGAGTCAAAGGGAGCATTACCATGAGGTCTTGGTTGAGGATGGATTCATAGTCCTTATAAATTTTATTTAGTTCCTGGATTTTGTTTTCTGTTCCAGTCTCCAAAAACTTCTCAATCTCCTGAAGGGCTGCCTCCGCGCCATCCTGGGACTGGCATTTGTCCACAGGCTGTGAAGCCAGCAGGTATATCCCCTCGTCACACCACCGCATGGACTAAAGCGCGAACATGGCAAGAGAAGAAAGCCACAGCATTAGAAGTTTCCTCTCGCTTCTGAGTGCCCTCTGCTTAAAGACCCCAGGGTACTGTCTAACATTACAGTATATGCTGTTGGCATATTCTTCGAAATTTCACAAAAACTCTCTCATCACACTTCTACCAGTGCACCATTACCTTTAAGGGATTCCACCGGAAGGATAAGGGCATTCCAAAGAGGCGGGCATAGTCTATAGGGCTGAAAAGAATCGGAAGTCCCTGGGCACTACACCAACGGTTGGTGCTTTGAGTCCACCCAGAATTACCTTGGAAGAAAGGCCTGGGAAGCTCCTTAGGGAAAAACAACCTCCCCAAACCTCTCTGAGCACATGCTGACCCTCACACATCCAGGCTGACACCAGCGCAATGGGCTGGCTTGTGGGGGGAACTAGAATCACGTTTACTCATAGCAGGAGAGGCTAACATGCAAGGTAATAAAGTAGGGCATCACATTTCTGGTTCTCCTCAAGAAATCAAGAACTGTAGTCCTCGAATTCTAGAACTGTACCTGGGGACGACCATGCAACCCGATGGGAAAAAGGATTTGAGGGAGAACCAGTGTGCTGTGGCTTTCCGGATAAGGACCCTCTCGCCCCTGGGATGACCGAGGGAGCTGGTGGTTACATGAGATGGAGGATGTGTGCTGCATGGGTGGCCAGGGTGGGGGATCGGGTCTCCAGCCAGGCCTACCGTTTCCAGGAGGCCGTGCAGCTCCAGGGCCTTGCTGAGCAGGCTTCTCCTCTTCCCAACCTCGGCAGCCAACTGGTCGCAGAGGTGCTGGAGCTCGCTGCACTTGGGGTGGATGGAGTCCACAGCGTAGTGCTTGTTCTCGATGAGCTGGCTGCCCTCCAGGGACAGGCCTCGGGCCTTTTCTACAGACACCTGCACAGAAAGGCCGCCCCAGAAAATCGAGCCGGCTTCATTTTTCGGCACGCATGCACGGAGATGTGGCCATAAAGGCTGTTTGGTGTACACCAGGTTTATTTCTGTGATGAGCCCCCCGGGGCAGCTATTTGCAGGGAGAGGTGAAGCCAGCTAACTGTAAGGGGATATCTGTCACAGAAGGAGCAGGATGTATATAGTTTCTCTCTGGTTACTGCCTGGGTTAATGGAAATGCCACCTAACCCCTGAAGCTATTCTGGGGGGAGCGCGGTGTGTGTGCAAACTCTACCGTGCGTTCTGATGAGCCTAGCAGAGCTGTAGCGCGTTCCGGTAAACCTGACACCAAGGGGCTGTCACTGTCTGAGAGGCAATGGACGGCACGGGTTTGATAACTAAAGGGGTAGCTGCACCCCTGGCCCTGGCAGCTATCCCTGCTGTAAATGGCAGGGCCATGTGCCCAAGGGGTCTGAGGGATGGGGTACATGGAGCGGCCCCCCACCTGGGGATGCCACTCAGGCACAATCGCGGCTCCACTGAGGATGGAGCCAAACCCACATGGCTGTGCTTTTCCGAGCAGCGCTCAGCATCTGGCATTCCCTCCGCCACCCCACAGCCCTGTCCCGGGGCCCCGTCCCAGGCTTACACCGGCTTTCTCTTCAAAGTTCGCAAGGTCCTTCAAGAGGTGCTCCACGTGGGCCAGACTGTTGCCCACGTCCGTGAAGGTCAGGATCTTCTGGGACACAACGTCCAAGGCAGCTTTGACCTGGAATGAAGGAGGGCAGGGTGAGGCCAGGGCGCCCTCAGAAAGGTGCTGAAGGAAACCATCCAGTGGGGTGGCAGCCGGGATGTGGAAGTTCACTACGGATCCCTGGAAGGAAGCCGGAGGAAGGCCACCCCAGACCCAGAGAACTCTGAAATACACAAGGGCACAAATAGGAACCAAGATAAGCCGCCATTGAGCAGGAAGGGTTGCTTTACTGGCCTGAGGCTCGGATGAAAGCCACGTTCAAGTTAAACGCCGAGCGAGCAACCTTCAGAGGACCGTGCTGGGCGTCCTCTGAAACTGGTGGGGTCGCTTCACTTCTCCAGACCTCCATTTATTACCACTGTAAGGTGGGAGATGACCTGTTCGCTCCCCCCCACCCCCAAACCACCAATAACTGTGAGGAGAAAATGGGATGGCCCAAGTTCAAATCTTCTGAGACACGGAAAGACAGCAGTACTACAAGCATGATGCAGGGCCGCTACTACGGGACTTTCAGACTGGGCCAGGAGACTTGCACGGCTCCTTTCATTCCAGCTTGTGATGAGCTTCCTAAAATGTTCCTGCTGTGGTGGGGGCTGCTTTCACGTGTGTCACTTAGTGACATTAATGCTGCCCACGTTGTGTCACCACCACATCTACTCCCAAGCCTTTTCCGCCAAACACGGATCAAGACCTCTACATGCCCCGCCCCACTTGTCGCGGGAAACCAGGACCAAAGTTGGGCCCCTACGCATGTGCCTACTCTGGACATTTCATCTCCGTGGGACCCTACCGGATCTGCCCTTTCCTGAATGACTCATGTCACACCACGGGGTTTTCGAGGTCTATCCGCATTCTTGCGTGTACCGGACAGAGCATCCTTTCTCCCCATGGCTGAACAGGCTCCCATTTTATGGGCAGACCGCATGTGACTTATCCATGTATCCACTCAGACACACTTGGGTGGTTACCAACTTTTAGCCGCTGTTTACAGGTCTGTTTCTCTTCCTGCTTCCAGTTCCCTCCAGGAGTGGAGTCGCAGGGAGCATGGTAAGGCTGCGCCGCACTGTCTCAGGCACTGCCAGCCCTTGTTCGACAGCAGCCGTGCCACCTTACACTGGTAACCGGTGGGCATTCAACTCCTAGTAGCTGATGGTGCTGACAGGGGCATGAGAGGAGGGCTAAAGAGAAGTGATTTTTAAAACTGTCATTGCTTATGTTCTCTAAACAGGGACGCTTTTCTTATTAGAAATCTTTCTAAGACTAAGCACGCACCCAGCTTCTGCAAAAAGGGGTGGTCGCTGAGGATGGCAGACCAGAGGGGTACAGATCTCTTTATGAGGACGTCAGTGATTGTTCTTGCTGCCCGGGGTTGGGGACATCTGGAGGGCAGCCAGGACGGAGGCCTCGTCTTCATCTTCCTGCTCCCCACTGTGAATGGCTCAGGGCCTGGCTGCTGCCATCCCAGGGTAACCCAGGGCCACTCGAGTGACAGCTGTCTGACTATGACTTCTAAAAGAGAGCTTCCTGCAGATTGCAGCCATCAGCCTACCTCAGTCTTTATCTCACCCTCTCGACGTATGTTCCTTGTTGACACTTACATTCTGAGACTATCTTGTTTTTATGTTGTTTCCTTGTTTGGGGTCTGATCCCTCCCTTCCCATACTCAACATCTGCCCTAGAACAACAGAAGTTCCAAGTAGACGGGCATGTATTTCTTCCCACCACCCAGACCTGTACCGGGTCCACAGTGAGGACGCAGGAAAACTCTGTAGAAGGAATGAGCGGGAAGTCAGCCACAGCATGGCAGCCCAAGGGAAGTGGGGCGTGCTGACAGGTCCTCCTGGGCCAAGACACTCAGTGGGCCCGGTCTCCCTAGGCACAGTCATGCGCCGGAGAGAGCCAGGGTGATAGCCTCACCCTGAGGGTGGCTTGGCAGCGCTGAGCCACAATGCCAGGAGGGATGACGACGAGAGAAAAGCTCCAGAGCGAGAGTGCTGGGACCACAATCCTCCCAGACGACACTGGCTGGACCTCAGAAGATGTTGGAGAATCTCTTGTGCTTCTTTCTCCGCCATCTCCAGATGCCCTTAAGGTAATGTCCTTATTCATTTCGGTGTCACTGGGATGCACCCAGATTCTTCTTTCAGATGTAACTTCCATGATATTTTCTTCTGGAGACTTCTCAGCTGGACACAGGCAAGTGAGCTTAAGGGTATTAAACAGGGCTTTACCCTCTGCTGTTGAATGTCTTGACTCTCAGGGAAGAAGTACAAGAGGTTATGTACTTTCCCCCAAAGAGCCCTTCAGGCTTCCCCCAAAGTGTTCAGGGTTCAAACACTCCACATTTCTCTCAGTGGTTGCAGCTTAAAGACCACAGCTTGGCCTAAGCTTATTTTGCACCTGGTTCCTTTCACTGCTCTTTGAAGGGGACCAGTGGTTGAAGGTGGCAGTAACAAGTGTTCAGGGACATCAGGAGCTCATTCTTTCATCATGCTGTGTCAGCCACGTGGCTGCCTTGTCTAGGGATAAATGTTATGCACGAGCATGTTGAAAAGACAGCTTCACAAAATTTAGAATATGGAAATGTTCCTCAGTTGGTTTTTTTTCTTGGCTCCACGATGTGACATTTGTTTCTATCTCTGCAGGTCCATGGCTCCTGCCAAACTTGGGAAGCTTTCAGTTACTGCTTTCATGAGTCCTTTATCAATCCATCCTCTCGCTGCCTTCCAGGGCATCCACAGAAGAAGGTTAGATCTCTCGTGATAACGTCACAGCTGCCTATGACTGCACATTCTTTCCCATCTATTTTCTCTCTGTTGTCTAGATTGGGTCGTTTCTATTGTTCTACTTTCTAGTTCAACAACTCTTTGTTTTGTCATTTCCGCCATTCTGCTGTTGAGCCCTTCCACTGAGCTTTGTATTTTGGCTAGTAGTCTAGCTCTCATTAGAAGGAAGCCAAGGCACGCCTGCATTTTGTATCTTTGTATACCCAGGCCTCTGAGTCTGGCCCATATAGGTCTGCAATCAATGTATATGGAATTACAAGATCAGACAGGTGAACAGAAGGTGAGAACAGAGGCCTCCTTACTAACTCACAAATCAAGCAGAAGAAAGTACATGCCAGTAGACGTATTTTAAATAGCCTTTTATATAGGCAATGATCCACTCATTAAATCATGTTCAAGGTTTAACCCAATTAATCTTGCAGGTTCAAAGTGGCTAATAGACTCTCCCACACCAGGTGGCACGTGGTCCAATCGTTGCCCTCATAAGCAAGGGCTGTGCACATGGCACAGCAGCCAGATCAGCTGCCCATGGTATTCTGATGTAGTAGCAAACAAACAGCTGGGCCCTGCTCAAAGATGGCAGCCCACTGTGCTGCTACAAATGTATGTTTTCCCCAGAGTCCTGCCAGCAATCTAATCTCCAGTATCAGGCTCCCGAGACTTCTGTGGAGCAACCTATTGGCACAACTCTGGAGAGGAACACCCATTTGATGCCGTTTCCTCGGCCACCTTCTTTGAGTGGGGCCTACACTGAGTTTCCTAACAGGATCAAAATACCATGAGCAGTAGATTCAGGGGCTATGCAAAGCATAGGCAGACTTTGCTTACTGTGGCAACGACTGAGCTGTTCTGAGATGCTTAAAGGTCCTGTGTTACAGTATACCAGTCAGCCTGGAAATTCAGCTGTGCTACGACCAGCCTGCTGAAACAACAGCGCCCTCTAGCTCCCCAGATCCTTCCCGAAGCCGGAGCACACAGGTGCTCATCCAAGGAGTCCCTCTCCAGGCCCCGCTCCACTCACCTCTCGGAAATTCTGCTCAAAGTGCCGGAGCTGCAGACACTGTTCAAGTTTCTGCTGATGCTTTGCCCAGAACTCATCAAAGGCAGACTCGGTTTCATTCAGCTGGGCCAGGAGCCTTAGGGAAAAGAGGAGACGCATCTGTACTGTGGCCTAGGGGTCGGGAATCAAAGAACGATCAGCTCCACCCAGAAGCAGGGTCTTTACACCACTCGGGCTCTAGAGGCGGTCCGAAGCCCTCCCATAGCACTCTCGCTGTGTACTCAAGTACAGGATTTTGCAAGTGTGACTGGTGCCTTGACAGGGCCAATACATGTATGAAGGGGAGGCGTTTCCAGGATTCTATCCCCTTCATACCATCGCGTGCTACCCGGCTCAGGCTGCTGGCAGAGTTAAACGGAGTTCATTCATTCTTTATGAAGTCAAAATAGCAGAGGCCTGGACTTGTTTACAGCTTTGGCTCAGAGGTGAAGATAAGCAGTAAGCTGCCTCAATGACGGCGGGGAATAGCTATCACCCACATTCCTGCGCAGTTGCTCACGAGCACTGAGAATCCCCGTGTACCCCGCTCTGTGCTTAACGTTCAACGTGTGTGAGGAAGTTCGTGGACCAAGTCCACGTTCCTCATTTCACTTTTTTCTATGAACTTTCTGAAGCGCCCCCCCACCCCCTCCCCGCCCAAGCCACAGGCAAAGGTGCACTATGATTCATTCCACTGGATGGAGGAAGAAATGGAGCCTTGGATGGGTTAACAACTTGCCCACCAGGGACCCGAGAGTCGACCCACCACTTCATGTCAAAGCTCTTTGCAGGCCCTGGGAGGGCTTTCCCTTCGTAACATCAAGTCTAGCTGTGAGTCCTCAAGGGAGGGTCTCTTGTCCCCTGTGCATCCCACAGGGTTCCCGGCTGCTCAACAAGTGAATGGGGCTGGATGGAGAGAAGACACATTTCAAGATAAAGAAACTCAGCCCTGGGGCTGCTGATGGCTCGCCTGGTGCCACTGTGCAAAGTGATCTAGCTAGCTACTCTGAACTGGTTTTCTGATTGATACGATGAAAATTCAAAGCCTAAATTTCTGGCATCCAACGGATTCTGACTCATAATGACCCTACAGGATGAGGTAGACCTGTCCCTGTGGATTTCCAGGGCTGTTAATCTTTATGGGAACAGAGAGCCTTATCTTTCTTCCCACAGAGTGGCTGGTGGGTGTGAACTGCCAACCTGGTGGTTAGCAGGCCAACGTGTAACCCATTACACACCAGAGCGCCTTCTGTATATAAGATGATGATGGTGTGTGTGTGTGTGTGTGTGTGTTTAAAAAAACCTTTCTGGATCTCACACTTTAAGAATAAAATGAGAAAAAGATACGTGAAGTTTTGAACATTTCCAAGCACCGTATAATATCAGCTAACATTAACGAACATTCAAGCCCTATGCTCCCATATTCTGTTGTCATGTTAGAAACACAGTGTGAGATATACGACGACTATTTTACAACAGAAGCTAAAAGTTTACACTCTAAAAATTTGCAACTTGATGTGAGAGAGAGTCTCAAGTTGCTTTCCCACCTGGAAACAGACACCTGAGCCTCTCTACCTGCCTGTGGGCAAGAGACAGGATAGTACTTTGAACATGGAAGCTATAGGAATCGAAGCTGTCCTCGTTGCTAGTCTGCTTGATCTATCTAATCTGTTTCATTTTTTAAAACCGTGATTGAGCACAGCAGCCCGTGTGACCAAGGATTGTACATAACAAAACCCAAAGCTGAAGGAGGGAATGTATCAGAGCTTCGGTTGTTAACACCTGGCTTGCAGAGGGTGATGGCAGAAGCCCCACATCCATCTGCAGGGCCCACACATGGAAAATACAAACAAACAAAAAGATTTCTAATGCTTTTGAAAAACCATGTTTGTTCAGTGGAATCATCTTGCCTAGATGAGCTCTTTTCTTTGGGATTTAGGAAAAAAGTATCCCCGCGTTTCACAGAGGACTAAGACTGCAGTAAGGAATAAGAGATCTTGCTCCATTGTAACAAATAGGAGGCTAAGAGAGAGAGTGGGATTGCTCCCAAGGACAGCGCCAAAGCCCAGGTGAGGTGCTGCTTTTCTTCCACCCCTTGGGCCCCCAGTCTCTGGCCTCCCATTTCCACTGCGGTGGTCTGCCTGGAGCATGCCCCCTGCCTGGAACAGAGAGCACTCAGGCCGGGTGGTACGGACTCTCACCTCTGCACAGTCGTTTGGTTGTCAAGCTGGTCCTGATTTAGGCTGTACTCGGGGTTCTTGGCCAGAGGCTCCCTGATGCTCTCCAGGATGGAGTGGCCCTCCTGCAGCGCTAACTTCAAATCTTCCTGTGGGGGTGGGGGCGGAACACAGGCCATCAGGGGTTGGAGGCTCAGGATCCAGGCCAGAGGGGACCCTGAGATTTGGTTAGGTATTTCCTCCTGAAAGGGACTCCACAAGGCCAAGCTCTCTGCCACCGAGTCCATTGGGACTCACAGAGACTCTATTGGACAGAGTAGCACTGCCCCTGTGGGCTTCCCAAACCTTTATGGGAGTAGAAAGCCCTGTGGAGTGGCTGCTGGTTTTGAACTACCGGTCTTGTGGTCAGCAGCCCAATATGTACTGTGACTGATAATTAACAAATAGAAGGTCAGGAAGGTGGGAAATCACAAACCCAGCCAGTTATTCCTTCATGAGTCCCTTTCTATGCCGATACCCTAGATAAGCTGATAGATGGCCTAAGACTTATAAAGGGGCTTCAGAACATCATGGGAAAATCCCATTATCATTTAATTCCATTTTTCCACGAGCATTTCGCGGTCACCTCGTAGTTGCCAGGAAGAGAAGCTAATGAGCCATTGTGGCTCTCTGCTGGGAAAAGGCTTCCGTGGAGCCAGACCAGCAGGTAGAGGTGGTGGCAGCAATGAGTGCTCACTCCTGCTGGCCCCCAGTGGCAGAGCTAGGTTACAGTCCCTCAGGGGTAAAAGAATAAGGTTAAAACAGTAACAGGAAAGGACACCTTTCAAAATGCCTCTGCTCTGGCTGCCAGGTCTCAGGGCTTGGAGCAAAAAGGCTGCTTAGGGGAGCAGGCAGTGAACTTGGCAGAGAGCGGACAGATCCCTGAGGGGGTCTCTCCGGGGAGGGGGCAGGCAGTTTTCTGCGCTGACAAGGTGCAGGCTGCCACACCTGCAGGGGTCATGTTTCCTCGCAAAATACATTTATCCCAGAAAGAACTGGACCAATATGCCAGTCAGACTATCACCATCTCCCCTGCTTGTCTTAGAAGCACCGGGATAGGCTGACCCTAGCGCACAGGCAGCTGGGAGAGCCCACGGAGAGAAAAGCTGCTTCTCATAAACCTTCCTCCCTCCAGACTCCGGACATTGCTCAAGAGCACACGGGGCTTGCGAGGGATGCTTCGCTGAGAGGCAGCACAGGTGCGTCATGGACAAGCTGCATGGTTTAGAACAGGTAGCACAGCACCCTTCAGAGGCTGCCCAGCGAATGAGCATCAAAAGGCATCTTTGAACTATCCTGCCTAAATTCGTAGTCTTCTCTGATGTCAGCATCCACTTTTTTGTCTCCCAGCATGCCTCACCCAGCACCAGACACTCGCGCCTTCTAACTTTTGTGTCCCCCTCTCCTCCGCCCGCCAGCAGCCACACATACCTTCATCTTGTCCTTCTTCTCTGTGTGTGTGGACAGGACCGAGCTTGTGGATTGGACGTCATTGGGTAATTCTGTTTCAGCAAGTTCGGTCCCAAAGGACTGAAGCATCTGAGCTGTCTGCTTAACCATGAGAGCGAAACTTTCGATAGCCTTTGGGAGAGGGAAAACCCGGATCACAAAGGTGGGCACAGCCCAGGGCCTCCTGCCGCTCTGAAAGCAGACCCCCACTTCGCAACCACTCCCCACCGGCACAGCACGCAAGAGCGGCTTTCAGAAAGAAGGGAGCCTTCCAGAGAACATGTGGCTGGCAGCATGCTTACAAATAAAATACCTTCACCATCAGCCCCCAGGCTTCATGGCCTCTTCAGACACACACCAGCTACACTTGACTTCCAGTTTCACACTCGCGAGTCATTCTGTACAGAGGAGTCCCTCTCCTTGGTAAAGGATGTGTGAGCACACAAGCCACAACAACACAGGGGTTGTGTGTGTGTGTGTCTTGTTTCCTTTTTAACTCTCCAAGCCCAGAGCAAGCCACTCCCAAAGTTATGAGTCATGTTATTTCTTTAGGATGACTAAGGTCCACTGAGACCATCTCCTCATTCTTGGGGCAGAAAACTTCAGTGAATGTGTTTTGGCATTAGATGCAAATGTCCAATTCTGTTAGATGAACTGTGAATTAAGAGGAAGCGCAGCTCACAGCCACCACCCACCCCCTCCAAGTTCTGAAAAGGGACAGAGCCACTCACGGTGCGGTGACACAGCCACCTGGTGTGGCAGTAATCCAGGGTTCCGCCGAGGTCCTCGGTCAGCTGTGATTTGTCAATGTAGCCATGTAATTCTGGTACTGAGCTCAGCATTATGATCTAAACGGGAAGGAAAGGCAGCACCTTACACAGATAATCCATAGGGTTAAGCCAACGGGCTAAAAAGACGCTTTTCACTGTTGGACATGAAGTCTGACCGTGGGAATAGCATCCGGCTTTGAACAGATCTGTGTTGATCACTGACTTGCTGGTGACCTCAAGCATGCCACCACTTCGCTGTCCATTTATTTGAAAAATGGGCATCTACCTCCATCACGTCGTGATGAGGATCAAATGTTGGTAGCCATTGAGCCCAGGCAAATTCTTGATAGTGTGGCATGAAACAAGCAAAGAACACTTAGTCGGTGGATGCTTAGTGGCTACCAGTTAAGCTACTAATCACAAGGTCAGCAGTTCCATGAGCAGCTCCTTGGGATAAAGATGGGGCTTTTCATTCCTGCAAAGCGTTAAGTCTCGCACAAACCCACAGGGGCAGTTCTGCCCTGGCTTATAGGGTAGTGCTGCGAGTCAGAATCGACTCGATGGCAGTGAATGTGGAGTTCTGGGTATGTCCCCTAAGGAGGCCTGGCGCTGCAGTGGCTAAAGTGCTCGGTCACTAACAGAAAGGCTGGTGGTTTGAGCTCACCCGGTGGTTGCACCAGGGACCCATTCCTTCCCCTGCCTAATGGAAGTGCACTTGCTTGTTTGGCGGAGAGGATAGGAGCAGGGTGAACCGGAAACAGGGTAGACAGGGCAAGAGTGCCTGCTGACCCACTGTGCTTTAAAGGAAAGGTAATAATCACTTCACGGAAAGTGACCCCGACCTGGGCTTATTGGGTTCCCAAGACAGGGTGTTTGGATTGTTAGAGACATTACCAGGTGCCTGCAGGTAGTCACAGAGATTGTTCCCTTTGCAACAGAGAAGAAATGAATTAGCAGGTAGCCATCTGTCCCTGTGCTGTTCACAAGATTAACTGGTATAATTTAGGGTCATCATGAGTCAAAATCAAGGGGACAACAACGAACAACACAGCAATGAAGTTGAGGGTTCCCTAAGTACATGTTTTAAGAGTTTGTATATAGCCCCATATCACACCCTTAAAAAAAAAAAGAGAACAAGTAACCAGTCCCAGAAAGTGTTATAAGGAAGGTTGGTCTAGGAATAGCTGGAATAATGAGAGATGAGGTAGGGATCATTCTGCTACACTCTTTAAGGGTGAAATCCAACCCCACACACTCAGAGGGAGATACTTGCACCCACTGCCTCTGCAACCTCTCTTATTCCCCCAGAGTACTGACAGAGAGCATGGGTGAGACATTCCTAACTAAAAGGTGCTGAGGACTGACTGCTCAAAATATCAGTGCTCTGTCTCCTCCCTGAAATCTACCAGGTATAAGAAAGTCCTAAGATTCATGGCTCTCTGTTAAATCTCTTAGCTTTTACATGACCTGTCTAAGGCCATGAGCTATCAAATCTCGTGGAGGAAGGAGAGAGGTAGGCAGGTGATGGTGAGTGGCTTAGAGGAGGGAAAAGCATCGAATTACTCATGGCAGCATTGAGAGGAAATCCACGTCCAGATGAAGTCCTTTGGGGCATCCTTTGCCCTGAGAATTTTGATGATTAGAGACGGACCACGAATTCAACTAAGTGTGATTCTGCGGCAGAGATAAAGCAGAGGCATACTTACTGGTACCTTCATTTTAAAGTCATCTCTATTGAATTTGAAGGCGATGTCGGAGAGAGTCCGTTGGAAAAATCCAGTGGGGCGCAGAACAAGCACGAGCTGCAGGTTTGCTGGGAATGATGCCTGCGAGGAAGAACGGAGAGGGACAGTCACGAGGGCGGGCTGGCACTTGGTGACCCCAGGCACCTGCTGCTGGACCGTGTGGACCAGACTGTACACGGGGCGGGGGGCAGTTCAACGTTGAGCTCTTTTGTAGTCCATCAGCTTTTCATACAAGACAAAAATGGTCATGTGGGGTGTATGTGTGTCTGTCAAAAAGTGTGTGGGAAAATGCATTTAAGAGAAAATAGGATCTTTCCATGAACCTCTTGAAGCCCCCTCACATACATTCATGTCTATTAAAGACATCACTGTTGTTTTTTAATGAGGAATGTCACATTCTTTGTGAGAGCTGGTATGCTGCTTACATGTTTATAGAAACTAAAGAGGCAAAAGCCATCACACTTGTCAAAGAAAAACAAAGCTCCACAGAAAAACAGGTGTAAATGGTTTCTATGCCTGATCACTGTTGTTTAAAGGAGCCCTGGTGGCACACAGGACTGCTCACTGTAAGGTCTGCAGTTCGAAGCCGCTAGTCAGTTGAGGGAGAAAGAGGAAGCTTTCTACTCCCAATAAGAGGTAGAGTCTCAGAAATCCATAGGGGCAGGTCTACTCTGTCCTATAGGGTCACCGTGAATCAGAGTTGACTGCATAGCAGGGAGTTTGAGCTATGCTGGTTGCTGTGTCACAAGCTGGCAGTTCGAATCCACCCAGCACCACAGCAGCAGGAAACCCTGGCAATCTGCTTCTGCAGGGATCCCAGGCAGGGAAACCTGTGGAGCAGGCCTGCCCTGTGACATGCGAGGTCACTATGAGTTGGAGCAGACTCGGTGGCAACAGGTATGGTTTGGCTTTTTATAAAGAGGAGTTACCTAAAGCAAAGCAAAGCAAAGCAACAACAAAAAAAGTGCTTATCTGCCAGCATACATGTCCCCCCTTAGATACAACTAGATGAATACATTTAGTTACAACTAGATACAACAGGTTACTCTGCCACACTCAAGGTGTGTGATCTTGGGTAAGTTACTTAACCTTAACCCTCTGTCCCTCAGTTTCTTTGCCTGTAAAATGAGGGTGATGGGAGCACCTACCTCATCACACTACGAGGAGGCCTCAGTGAGCTAAGCACACACAATGCTTAGTCAAGTGCTTGGCACATACATAAGACATGCTAAAAAGCTTAACTATCACAGCTATACAAGCAAGAGGCTATATTCTACATGCCCAATTATTTCCAGATGCTGAACTCCAGGGAGACCCTCATCACTAAAAAAAGAAATTTTGAAGCAATTGAGTTTGATTTCTGGCTAACTAGGTTAAACTCACTGACAATACAATTCATGTCCCAAAGCCCTGAAACATTAAAAGAGACGGGGGATGTGATACTAACTGGTCAAAATACCTCACGGAAAAAAAATCATCTCTGTGAAGTGACAGGATCCCAGAAGACAGCCAGCCCTAAAGCTCCTTTTATGGGGGAAGCAGCAGGCCTCTCGGCAGGGGACAAACGAAGCCCAGGGCTGGGTGATCTGGCTGCCTGGCGGAGAGGGGCGGGCTCCACCCCTCCATGACCTACATTACATCAGGCGTCCTCAGGAATTCTGGATCACACAAGTCCCCAAGTCCGGACAAAACTCTAGGGCTTTCAAAGGCATTGACTGAGACCTCCCTCACTCCGGGACAGAAAATACGTTCTCCACGGCCTTTCTGAAACCCAAGGTGCAGGGTCACCTTGACAAGTCAGTCATGAAGCCCCCCAAATTACATCCCACAGATTCCTACCCCCATTTGCAAAAAAACAAAACCAGCAACAAGTTGATACAACACTGGAAATCAATGAGGCGGGAAGGCCTGGCCCCCACAGTGCAGTCATCGTCTGATCTCAGGACTGGGAAGATGAGAGCTCTTACAATGGTTGAGGGAAGTGTGTGGCCCTGCTGGGGCAGACACGTGAAACCCTCGGCCGCCACCTGGCAAGTTGACAGTGAAACTTCACGCTGCAGCTCCGTGGGGGCAGGGGAGGAGCTGGGGACCAGCTTCTGTAAGGATCACAGCCTAGAAAACTCTCTGGGTGCTTTTCCTGTCACATGGGGCCACTGTGAATGGGACAGATGGGGCAGCCCCTAGCAACAGCAGCTAGACATCACGATGCCCTTGTCAGCAGGACCCTCCCTACTGCGCCCTGAGAGGAGAGGGTTCATTTGTACTTCACTTTGTCCCTGGACCTATTTGTCAGTGTCTCAATTTTCAATGCCTTGGCATCCCCCCGGAGAAGGGCTTACTAAAATGCAGAGTGCTGGGCCCCATCCCCAAGGTTTCTGATTCAGGGGGTCCGAAAGCTGGCACCTCAGACAAGTTCCCAAGCAACAGTGATACTGCAGGTGTGAAGGTACAACACCTGAGAACCCAGAACGCTGGCTGGCCCATCCTACTGGAGCGTGTGTCGTGGTGGAACAGGCTCTGCCTGTGGGTCCCTGGGCCTCACTCACCCGGCGGTTCCAATTTAGCCCACTCAAGGCTGATGAGGAGCCCTGGAGGCATTGTGGGCGACACCTCAGAGCTGTATGGTCAGCAGTTTGAACTCACCAGCTGCTCTGCGGAAGAAAGATGAGGCTTTCTACTCACGTGAAGAACTACAGTCTCCGGAATCCACGGGAGCAGTTCTCCCTGTCCTATCAGGTCACTGTGACCTGGCACTGACTCGACGGCAGTGAGTTTGCCCATAGTTAACCTGAACCTTCCTGCCGGGTAGCCTGTTTCTTTGGGATCCCTCCTTGCAGGAAAGGATCCCCGCACAACAAGCGAGCATGGGTTCTGGACAGATCTGGCCCCTCTGAACATGCACAGAAGGGACAGTCACGACCTTCCGGTCACCCCTGAATGAAAGTACTTTGGTCATGGAACCAAAAGTCATAGTAAGACGTCACCAGGCCAACTTGGCAGACATTTGAAAATGAGAGGTCCTACAAGCCACTTCCTGGTCAAGAACCATCACCCCACCCTAATGCACATTCATGACCACTCCTGTGAAATCTGTTCCATAGTCATAACCTCCTAAATTTTCTTCCTGGTATAGATATGTCAAACTCACTAACGTCAAATCAATTCTGGCTCAAAAGGACAGAGTAGAACTGCCCCTGCCAGCATCCGAGGCTGTAAACCTTCATTGGAGCAGAAAGCCTCATCTTTCTCCCTTGGAGTGGCTGAGGGATTTGAACTGCTGACCTTGTGGTGAGCAGCCTAACTAAACCACTACAGCACCAGGGCTTATTGGTGTGGACACATAAAACTGCAAACCTTCCTTTTCCGGGAACTTGCTCCGTCAGTCTAGGCTTGCTCCTTACTTGATCAACCAAAGCAAAGCTTCCCCTTTCACTCCTGCCCAGTCTGTCTTTGTTTTTCAGCAGCCCTGAGGGAGACCTGGGTTGATACCAGTTCCAAACTGCAGGCTCCTGTGTATGGCACAAGAATGAGGGGCTAAGATGCACTGCCAGGAGGTACACGGCCAGGATATGAACCATTTGTTCATGGGAAGAATGCATCATCAAGATACGAACCACTCATTTTGTGCCAGGGGTGCAGGCGCAGGGGTGGAAAGGCTGGGCTCTGTGTTCATGACTGAAGTCATGTATAACCAAATCGGCTGGCACCACTCCCCCTTGCCAGCTAGAGCTGATCCTATCTATAGTCAATCATTACCCTCATCTTTCATTGATTCACTATTCATATAGACTTAGTGCTGCCCCAGCTGGGTCATTCCTCAATGAAACTCATCCTCGTTCACGCCGAATAGAAAAAAAGATTTTCTTCCTCGAGACAGGGCTATCTTTGAAAGATGAATGCGAACCATTGTTACAGGCTGCGCATCTTCGTTACGATCACTCGCTGTCAGAGAACAAGGCATTCTGAACATCACTGCAGTGGGAACACAAGTCCACAGGGCTTGGGGATAGGAAAAGATGCTGCTGGGTGCCCTCAGCTCCACTCTAACTCTCAGGGACTCTCCAGCTGGAGTCGAACTTCCCCAAAGGGTTTTCCAGGCCACAATCTTTAAAGCAACCGATTCTGAGGCTGTCTCTCCCACAGAGCTGCTGCGTGATTTGAACTGTCGCTTTCTGGTTAACAGCCGAGTGCTTAAACATCGCCCCACCAGGGCTGCTTCTTTGCATGGATAAAAACACAGGAGTGCTAAGGAACATTGGGGGTGTTAGCTGCTGCCGAGTTGGTCCTTGGCTTACGGAGACCCCACGGACAATGGATTGGAATGCTGTCCCTTCAGCATCATCCCCACAAGGAGTTGCCAATTGAATGGTTGTGATCCACACGGTTTCCACTGGCTGCTACTCAGAAACAAATTGCCAGGGCTTCCTCATTATAGAAGTCTGAAGATTCCCTGGAAATTTGTCCAGCATCATAGCCACAAACAAGTTCACCGATAGATGGGCCGTGCTGTGCATGTGATGCCCTGGCTGGGAATTGAACTGGAGGCTACCACATGAGAACATCAGACAGCTACCCGCTCACGGAAGCAGCAGTCAAGGAGTCAAACCATGTATCGCGTGGGGTAAATGTGTTGCACGAGACCTCTTTCAAGTGTTGAGAAACAGGGAGGTTTCTTTGAAGATGAAGGTGTGACTGACCGAAGCCGGGGTATTTCCAATGGCCTCATCAGCATATGAACGTTGGACATTGCATAACGAAGACAGAGGAAAAAAATCAATGCATTTGAATTACAGGGTTGGCAAAGATACTGAGGGTGCTGTGGGTTGCCAGAAGAACAAACCAATCTTTCTTGGAGGAAGTACTGCCAGAAGGCTCCTTAGAAAGATGGCAAGACTTCATCTTATAGACTTTGGACATGTTGTCAGGACAGACCAGTCCCTGGAGAAGGTTATCAGGCTTGGTCATGCAGAAGGACAGCGAAAGAGAGATAACAACCCTCAACCAGATGGGTGGGCCCAGTGGCTGCAATACTGGGCTTCCACACAGCAAGGATTGTGAGGATAGTGCCGGGCCAGGCAGTG